AACTAGGAAGAATCACATCGTACTATTGGGTGAAGGAAAAATAGTCCATAGGGTAGTGCAAATAGATAGGGAAATAGGCTTTGATGAGTGTAAATTAGGGACTCTAGGGTGACATGCGAGAATCCTAACCAATTTGATCTAGGGTTTAATGAATTAAAACTAGATTAGCCAAATTGAGGGTATAAGGAGACTCTAGAGTGACAGGCTGGAACATAACCAATGTAATCTAAGATTTAAAGAATTAATACGTTATTAACAAGTTTTCTTTATGCACTCGATAGAGGGCAAAGAAGATGTATGCTCCTATTTTTCAATAGCCACAATAACAACTCAAAATACTAGATCCTACAATTCACTTATGTAATCACAAGAGAAAGGTAGTACAAGAGAAAGGTAGTACAAAAATTACCTTTCTCTGGTGATTACATAAGTGGATTGTAGGATAAAATACTTTAAATTGTTATTTTGGCTAGTGACAAATAGAAGCATTCCTCTTATTTACCCTCTGTCGAGTGCATAAAAAAATTTAGTTAACCTAGTATTAATTCTTTAAACCCTAGATTATATTAATAACGATTCTAGCATATCACCCTAGAGTCTCCAATTTATACCCTCAATTTGGCTACCCTAGTTTTAATTCATTAAATCCTATATCAAATTGGTCAGGATTCTAGCCTGACACCTTAGAGTCCCTAATTTACACCCATCAAAGTCTATTTTCCTATCTATTTGTACTTCCCTATGGACTACTTTTCCTTCACCCAATAGTATAATGTGATTCTTCCTAGTTGTTCATGTCATTACTCTCTCGAGTCTATATGGTGAACATATAATTTAAACAGTTCATATGGCAGTACAAAAAGTAAATGAAGCATAGAAAAAAAAACTATCACATTAAAGCTTAAAAATCAATTCTAAAAGCATCCTAGAAATCTTACTTATTCAACACAAGAGATGGTTAAAGGAAATCTACTCACAAATCATGAAGAACACCAAAGAAGACATCATTTTAACACAAGCAAATCTACTAAATATATGTTTACAACAAGTACAAGGCATTAAATAATAATATACTTCGCTTTTGTCCTCTGAAAAAGATATGCAAATTCCTCCCACAAAGCCTCTTAATGTTCCTTGTAATGCTACTACAATTCCCTTACAATTTTCTCTCAAAATCCTCTCTCCAATCTCACGAGAAATGGTAAAAGTCTACATTTCTTACTCCTACCTATGACCTTTTGGCCTTCTTGAAGAATTCCAGGGCCTAGAAATGCCAAAAAGTGTTTTTCCCAAATGTCTGAATCTGTCAAATAACTCCACAAGTCATGATGAAATCGTCTCGGACAATTCTGACGACTAGGCGACACCTTCTCTAGTAAGCTGGGAAACAACTGGCACCTAGGCGTCAGTCTGTGGCACCTAGGCGCCAGTTGTTGCGTAGGCGCTCGTCTGCAGCATCATGGCGCCATAGAGCAACGACAAGGCGCCTTCTCTCAAAATCCCCTCACCAATCTTTTGAAAAAAGGCAAAAATCTACATTTTCTACCCTACCAACGATCTCTTTGAAAAAAAGGAAAAAAATCTACATTTTCTACCCTACCAACGATCTCTTAGCCTTCATGGAGAATTTCAGGGCTTGGAAGTGTCAAAACGTGTTTTTCCAAAAGTCTAGATCTGTCAAATAACTCTACAAGACGTGTTGAAATCGTCTAAGACAGTTCTTGTGCCTAGGCGCCACCTTCTCGGGTAAGCTAGGAAACAACTGCACCTGAGCATCAGTCTGTGGCACCATGGCGCCACCTTCTCTGTTTGTTGAACACCATCTGGCGCCAAGGCGCGGATCTGCGGTGCTATGGAGCAATGCCAAGGCGCCAGAAGCTAGCGCCAACCTGTTGTTCGCCCCATTGCTCCATTTGTCTCATTTTCGCTTTGTTTGCTGCTCTAATTTGTTTCAAATCTCCTACCTTTTATATTTGCAACAAAATTATGGAAATATCTTCTGTTAAAGTTCAATTTAATCAAAAATAAGTGTTAAATATAAAGAAAAATTAGCATGCTACAAGACATGTCAGCACGTAATATTCATAAGCTAACTTGAAAGAGTGAGTTAAAACCAAAATGTGGTTATCCTGAAGGCGAACTTCCCAAAATGGCAATTCCCACATGTTGTGACTAATGGTCTCTCTCTCAAGATGGTCTTCTTGGTAGTTAGACATTGGACGACTTAAAAAAATCCATTGATAGTAATTTCGGTTGGCTGTTCTGCCAACTTTTAATTTGTGCTCGTAATAAAGGCAACTGATGTAGTGATCAATATAGTGCTAATTAGTGAAACAACAAGCCATAATCTCACTAAGTGGGGGGTCGGCTACATAAATCCTTTTTTCTTCATTATGTCCTATTGAGTATCATATTTTCATTTAATTCTAATAAATTAAGATTATTTTTTATACAATACACCTAAGTCAGTTTAGGTCTACCTTTACCTTTCGTAGCATAAGTTAAATCTAAAACATCTATTCTCCTAATTCGATCATCGGTTGGGCGACGTTTAATGTGACCAAACCACCTAAGTCGACTCTCTCTAATCCTGTCTGTCACTGGAGCTACACCAACCCTTTCACAGATACATCTGATTCGCATTTTGTCTCTAAGTGTCAAACCACTAGTCCACCTAAGCATTCTCATCTCAACAACATTGAACTTAGCTTTATGCTTCTTTTTTAAAAGCTAACATTCTGGGCCATAAAGCTTTGTAGGTCTCATCACCATTTTATAAAGTTTTCCTTTAAGATTAAACAGTACTTCTCTATTAAACAAAAGGCCCAATGCATTCCTCCAATTCAACCAACCAACTTGAATTCTACTAAAACATCCCTATCTATATCACCATCACTTTGAAAATAGACTCGAGGTATCTAAAACTTTTACACCATTTAATGATTTGATCACCCATAATCACAACTCTGTCACTAGATCTGCTACTACTAAATTTGCATTTCGTTTATTCACTTTTAGATCTACTCAACGAAGGCCTTTAGACTCTAACGCAGGTCTCCATAATTAAAGTTTATCTTGGTCTTTTTCTCTATTCATATCCACAGGTAGGATATCATCAACAAAAAGCATACACCAAGGTAAATTCTCTTATAAAGGTTCAGTAAGAGCACCTATAACCAAAGCAAAAAGATATAGGCTTAAAGTCGATCCATAATGTAATCCAATTAAAATAGAAAAATACTTCGTCAATCCTCCTTCTGTTCGAACACAAGAAACAGCTATAGTATACATAACTTTAATGACTTGATTATATGCATTATAAGTTACATCAACACCTTTTTTTTTAGAACTCTCCAAAGAACTTCTCTTGAAACTTTTTTCTAAATCAATAAAAAACTTATGTATGTCCTCCTCACTCTTTGCATTTCTCCATTAAACCTCTCAACAGATGTATGGTTTCCATGGTAGAAATATTTGTATCATGTCTTAACCTATGCTCAATTATTGTTTCCCATAATTTTAATGTATGACACATTAACTTAACTTCTCTAAAATTTGCACACTCTTGTGCATCACTTTTAATCATAAAAAAATGGAGACCAAAATACTCTTCCTACACTCCTTAGGCATCTTTTTAGTTTTTAAAATAATATTAAAGAATTTAGTAAGTCAAGAAACTCTCAAATCTCTTAAATATTTCCACTTCAATTGGGATATCATCGGATCCTATTGATTTGCTACCCTTGGTTTTCTTTAAAGCCTCATCAATTTTTTTTTTACTAATGTGACGGTAAAAATAAAAAATTTTGCTATTATTTCCTATATTAAGATCACTTTTTTTACCCAAACAAAAAAAAAAGGATTTAATTCAAGTAAAGTACTTTAAATATGAAAATCAAAGAGTGTTTTTCTTAGAGGAAGATATCCAACATATGTGGGTGAGATATTATGATAAATTATTCAATGAAATTTTTGAAAATATGATCTACCTTAGTGCTAATCAGGAGCTGATGTATAATTTTGATTTATTTTATTACTAGGATATTTTTATTTCTTTCCTTTTTTCACCTTTGCACACCTCTATTTATATAAATATTGACTACAATAATGCAGTAAGTTTTCCAGCACTCTTTCTCTTTGCTACCTCCTACCTTTTTTTGAAAATATTATATATTAAAACGCAGCATCAAATCTAAATTATACACAACTGAACTATGACTTAGATCCAAATTTTCTACCATTTGTCTTCATGATTTGAGTTTCTTTCCGTTTTATCTTTAAACCATGGGGCTATCAATTCCCGATTATTGAAAACATTCATCAAAATTGGATTTGAACCTTAAATTCAATTAAAATTGATACATCAGATATCACTACTCCTTTACAATAAGAGTTTATCAGAAAATTTTATGACTTATAGATTCAAGTCTAATCTACACATTGTCAGTTAGCTTGACTACTACAAATGGGTAAGCACAACCATTGATGTTTCAATGTTGTTGGCCTGAAATGCTTAGAAAATTTTCCAATTTAAAGCTTCCATATATTTTAGGCTCTTAATCATGTAATATCAAATCCCAGTAGCCACCAATGAATGAACAAGTGGCCTTCCCTCCTGTTCCACAATATGAAGGTCAATGAATAGAATCCTTTCAAAAATTATCATAGCACAGCAATTTCACATATGGGAAAAATAAATTTGAGAAGTTCAAATAAGGCTTCCAAAATACAGAAACCAAGTGTTTCTGCATCATAACATTGTCCAAATATTATAATCAAATTCTTTTCAGGAAATCATTAAAAGCTTATTTGCTTTTCTGAAAATCTGCATTTTAGGTATCCAGACAAAGAAAATATGAGATTAGTAAAAATAAAAGTTTAGCATGATTTCCAGCATACAAGTAAATCGGAAATTTGCAAGATTGTTAGTATGAATAAGCAATAAAATTTATGCAAATTACAAAAAAATATTTATCAGAGAAAAGTATAACAGTGAGTACCTCTACAAGAATAAGAAGGACTCAAAAGAGGATATGGAAGAAAGCCAAGTAGCGAATAAAAACGAATCAGTAAACCACCAGCATTTGAACCCTCTACTTTTCCATCGTAAATCACACCACTTTCCTTGTATGTCCTTGCTGCCCTCCAATCAGCAGACCTCTACTTCTTCAGAGAAACATAATGTGAGATAATGCTCAATTGTCTAAAAAGCAAGTACAGTGTGAATTATAAAAGGCTTTGCAGACGCCTTGTTGACAGAATTGATAGAAATAATTTCTGTAAGAACTAGAATTCAGCCAATTCTTTAACTTCCGAGAGAACCGAACCAGTCTTAGCGTCTTCCCCTTGGCCTCATGAAATTATGAAATTTAATTCTTATATATGTATATGCATTTAGACGTTAGTATAGTGAGTTAATGGATTTGGGAGAAGAATGTATCAGATTGTACATTGCTATCAAAGATTTAATAAGTTTGCTTAAACAATACAATTTTTTATGATACTGTAAAGAAAAAGATTGATATAGATGATATCATCAACACGTGTTTACCTTGGATAACTTACAAGATAAATTAGAAGAAATTCATATATACCGTTGATCACAATAATATGCTTAAATTAGTTATTTTGGCTATGTAACATTTGATGTTTTACGTATTGAATGTACACTTGATATAAGTATTCTTAGTTCATACTGACGTGAGAACTGATAAAATTATGAAAAATGTATTAGATTATATTTAGCCAATGTTAGGTAGGTAACTCTTTACAAATTAACAGATAAATGTACTACTTCTTATAGTAAATGTTCTTCTTGACATGTGCTCTATGCCTTATTTGTTTTATTAAAAAATGTGTTTGATTCATTCAACATGATTCTTGTGTTCGTATGGACTAGATGTGATGTTTAGTTAGCTAAACCATGTTAATTCTAGCATAAATATCTAAGAAGTTTATAAGCATTGTTTTAATTGATGAGAAATAAATCTTGCTCATACAAACCATGAACTACATTGATATATAACAAATTTTGATCAAAATGGTTACAGAAACTTCATTAAAACACATTGCTCAAAATATAAAATTTATCTAATATATGCTTGCATACAAGATGCATGTATTATCAATATAACCGTTTTGGTGATTTCTAATTAGACCAACGAATCCACAAATTAACAATTCATTTTCAAATCATAGAACTTTCATAGGCAAGGAAAAACATTCCAGTTCAAGGTATATACAACAACGACGACGAGCCTTTATCCCACTAAGAGAGGTCGGCTACATGAATCATTTTTCTCTATTGTGTCCTATTGAGTGTCATATTTTCATTTAACTCTGATAAATTAAGATCATTTTTTATACACCTTAGCATGTCTTTTTAGATCTACCTCTATTTTTCTTAACATAAGTCGAATCTAAAACATCTAATCTCCTAACTGGATTATTAGATGGTCGATGTTTAATGTGACCAAACCATCTAAGATGACTCTCTGTAATCTTGTCTACCACCAGAGTTACCTCAACCTTTTCACGGATATATTCATTTCGCATTTTGTCTCTAAGTGTAAAGTCACTCCACCTAAGCATTCTCAACTCAGCAACACTTAACTTGGTTTTATGCTTTTCATTTATAGAACAACATTCTGCGCCATACAGCAATGCAGGTCTCACCATTATCTTATAAAATTTTCATTTAAGCCTAAGCGGTACTTTCTATCACACAATCGAGATTTGTAAGAGAATTTTCTAAGATTGTTATATCATTATCCAGAATAACACAAAATAGTGAAATTTGAATGGATAAATTATTGTAAGGAAGAATTTTAAAAGTTGAAAACTTGTTTAATGATTGTCCCAAATTTGACAATTCTTTCAGAGTCAGAATAGTTTCAAATTTACAGCTATACATCTTTAAAGGGATTGGAATTTGCAGCATGGAAAAATCATTGTCTATACTTCTATAAAAGAAATTATCCTACATATGACTTGAAAAGATAGGATTAGAAAATTCACTTGCTAGAGATATTTTTGTTCAAATCTTAGAGTAAGTCAAGACATATATTTAGAGAAGTAAATGATAGAGGGATATGACTTATTAAGATATAAAGGCAAGATTTATATTCTAGATGCGGATAGGTTGAGGAAAAAAATTCTAAAAAAGCATATTTATATAGTTATACTATCCATCCAAGGAGTAATAAAATATATTAGAAGCTTATGAAAATATTTTGGTGGCCAAGATTGAAAAGAAGTGTCGTAGAATTTGTGACTAAGTATTTCTACGTGTCAGATAGTTTTCCACTGCTCTCCATAAAAGAAGGTCATGAAAGGAATCCCAAAGGTCCTGCTGCGCCGAGTTGGGATAACTTTCAAGATAGTTTTCCACTGCTTCTCCATAAAACAAGACCACAAAAGGAAATATCGAAGATCTGGCTGGGCAGGGTCTGGGGACAACTTTCAAGACGACTTTCTCCTGTTTGGCCACAAGAGAAGACCGTGAAACTAAAAGATCCTGTTGGGTAGGGTCAGGGATAACTTTCAGGATGATTTTCTCCTACTTCTCCAATAAAAAAGACCATAAGGGCCACAAGAGAAGACCGTGAAAGTAAATTTCGAAGATCCTGTTGGGTAGGGTCAGGGATAACTTTCAGGATGGTTTTTTCCTACTTCTTCAATAAAAAAGACCATAAAACGGAATCTAGGAGGTCCTGCTGGGGCAGGATCGATGGATAACTTTCAAGACAGCTTTCTCCTTCTCCATGAAAGAAGACCGTGAAAGGAAATCCCAGAGTCCTGCTGGGCAAGATCGGGGATAAATTTCAGGATGGTTTTTTCCTGCTTCTTCGTGAGAGAAGACCGCGAAAGAAAATCTCTAAAGTATTGATGAAGTATTGATGGGCAGGGTCATGGATAACTTTCAGAACAGTTTTTTCCTACTTTTTCACAAAATAAGATAAGAAAAAAAGGGAAGATCTTAGATCACCTATTGGGCAAGGATAGAGATAACTCCTTCTTTCTCTCCTTTCCCCCTTTTTTTGTCCCTCTTGGGTAGATCTCCTCCGCTTTTACTCCTCCTTCTCCACCCTCTTTTGAATCTCTTCTCATTTTAGCCTCAATTTGTAGGCTTAGAATCCACCAATTATCAAAAAAAAAAAAAAACTGTTTCGGATTAACGTAAAACAGCAAAATAAAGACCCCAACAATTCCTTTTCGGCGTTTCGCACTCCAAATTCTAGTTATTGTTCCCCCTCTCGTCGTTCAGCGTTCTGCCTTCTCGTCAGCAATCCTGATTTCATTGTTTCAAATTCTTGTCGGCGTTCCCAATTCCAAGAGATTCAAATTCCTACAAACGATCTCTATTCCAAGGGCTAGCGAGGACATAGCAGCCAGCTTAAAAAGAAAAAACATATATTTATAAATTTCTTATTCTAGTGCAAGATAAAATTCAATTAAGCCAACTTTCCAACGCATAAGCCAGGAATGTGCCGCTTAAGTTTTTACACCGTACAAGCAAATATACATTCTTTATATAACCACAAAACGCTACCCAATATAATATCAATGTAGATGCTTAAGTTTTTTAACCATATATGAATATGTATTAATATAATTAAGCATCTTAGTTATAATATATATATATATAGATGCTTAAGTTTTTTTACCATATATGAATATTAATATAATTATATACATATTTATATATGAAGAAATAAAAATGTCAGATCTTAATATTTTTTCATCAGGAATTTGGTCTCACCAAAAATAGGGGCAATCGATATGTTATCAAAAAATTCATCATCCAACATGAATCTCGAAGCATGACGTTGATCTTAAAATCTTTTGAGCAAGAAATGTTCAAACTTCGATCAAAATTTATCCAGAGCTCTAATTTCAACAAACTTACAGTCAAACTGACTAGCTCGACGTGACAGACCCAATGATTCCTAAATTACTCTAATCTGAACCAAATCAAGTCATAATCAAGCCATTAAACAACTTTTAAAAGCTTTTTGGACATCTTTGGAAATTTAAACGAATGTCAAATATGGTGAGTTATGGTCAAATCGAGCATCTCGACAAAACGAATCCAACGAACTCAAAATTTCTCAAGTCTGACATCATTAAGGCACTCAAATGCCCCTTGAACGCCGTCTAACTGAGAGAAATCATTTAAGTCGTCTAATCAAAATGATTCATATTTCTTCATTAATTGTAATTGAGACTCTATAGATAGAGCCCCACCCCTCTCATGGGAGGAGAGCTTGAAGCCTAAATAAAAGGTTGAAGTTTAGAGCTGAAGTCCAGCATCACTTCATAGTCGATTGTCATTGACCACAAGTCAACGACCGCAGAGTCATCTACACACCGACGTTGTAACTCAAGAAACTGTGTAACCATTTCTCGTCAGTGAGACAAGGGGTTGTAACTGAAATCACCAGTTTCTAGTGGATTTCTTCAACTAGGTCCGGTCCCAAAGTTTTTCACTTTTCAGACTTTCCACGTAAGAACTTATAGTGTTCTTGTTGGTTATTTTCTTTCATCTAAGGTGTGGAAAATTCTCGTGTAACGTTAAGATGACAATCCATTACTCTGTCATTACGAATCTTCTAGCACACATCAGTATTAACAACCAAATCTCTCTATTTATTCAGCTTCTTTATGATTTAAGGTTGTTCATCAATGGAAGATTATGATTTATTAAATCCAGGGTTTAAAAGTTGTCATTTTTTTTTCCTATCTGACAAGATCTTAGTTAAATCCAACTTTAATCCGTTAAATATATATATCAACCACTGAGACCTCAGCCAACTTAACTCCACGACGAAACTCCAATGCATGAACTGATCAAACATTTGGAAAGATTACCCGGAGCTGCAAAGCTTCGTCGCTAGCGCCTCCGTCCGTCGATTCCCAGCGGGAAGATTCACGCTGCTCTGTGCCGCTACTTGATGCAACGGGCTTCGGAACAGCGTCAATTCTTACAAGCGAAGACCTCCTTCTGTAACTAAAACCAATCCATGATGGACACAAGGAAGAGGCGACCGTCGAGGGATCGGCGTGGCCATTTTCAGCAAACGAACGGTAAATCAGCACTAATCCCCTTGACGACGAGCCTATCGCAGTGAACATTGCTGATCGATGAAGGTATAGAGATCGAGCGAGTGAGAAAACGAGCGCACCAATGTTTACTTGGATTTGGATAAGAAAGAGGGAAGGTAAGGTGAAGAGAACGCCGACGAATATGGAAATAAATGTAAAGATAAAGTCCGAGTAAATCCCAAATATCTGGAGCCCCAGGCGTCTTCGTCAGCTTCTTTTTAAAAAAAAAAGTGCAGCGTTTCGCATTAAAAAAAAAACGAAAATATATAATCGCATTATTAAAAATTTATATAACATTTTTTTGTAAATTAAATTTTTTACATTTTAAATTAAAAAAGTAATTACAAACAGATCAACATAAAAATTAACTCTGGTGATTTTATTGAACTTCCAAACAGATGTATTTGCACATATCAGGGTTAAACTATTGAGAATTTGATGAAAATGAAAATTATGAAGTGGAGTTTTATCATGAAATTTGATAATTGAGTGAGAATTTGAATAATGGATGAAAGATTGTGATTGATTAGTAAATAGCAAGTTTCAGGTGGTTTATTTATAATAGCACGAATAAAGAGCAATGAAAAATATATATAAGTTGAATACATTTGTTACTTATGTCATATTTAGAATTGTAAAGAGACAAATTACATAAAGATAGGTTTGAAAAGAGTTTTATCACCACGAGCAAATATCCTTCTCACGACAACCTTCAGGAAGGCCTGTTTTGATGGCTTAACCAAAATTTTCCACTAGTCTCGCCAAAGCTAGTATGAGAGGGGGATAGAAAGCACTAGCGAGGCGTGGGAGCTCTAGGAGAATTTGTCTCTCTTTAGGATTATTTCAAAACTTCAAATTATGATGGATTGGAATTCTTTTGACTTGAGCAAAAAGGGCTTACCTTCACTAAGAGCAGTTGATTTTAATTAAAAACCAGTTGTTAAATATGGAGACACCCCAGTGGAGTTGCTAAAAAAACTATCAAAGTTATTAGAGGGTACATTTCATTAGAGTTAATTATTTTCATGAGACCGTTGGGAAAATTATTTGGCTTAAGATATGCCACTAGTATCCTACTTAGATTTCAATTTTGTCACTTTTTTGAAAAATTGGACATTTTATTTGATTATCTTTCGTACAAAAAAAAATATTTACTAAAATTTATCAAAATTTTATCTGTGTAATTTTTGAAATATTATGAATAGATTGTGTCAATTATATTGACAAAAAAATATTTTTCATTAAATATTTAATATTTTATACTATTTTTAGTCACCAAAATATTATTCTAAAGCTGCATAAAAATATTTTTTTTGTGAATTGTGATTGTGGTCTACCCTTTGAAATCGATGTGCCCCCCCCCCCACGAGCGTTTAAACAGTAA